AAAGAAAGAAAGAAAGAAAAAAAAACTAGTAAGAGTTCAGCAAGATTTCTGGATACAAAAAAGAATTCTGGATATTTAAATCAGAAGCCTTCCAATGTACCAGTAATAACCAATTAGAAAATAAGATAGCATGTCAAAGTAACCAAAACTGTAAAGAATCTAACAATTGACCTAACAAAACCATATACAACCTTTATGGAAAACAAAATAAGAGAATGTTTAAAAGAGACCCAAGTAAGTGGAGAAATGTATTTACAAAATGAAAGATTTATTATAACACAATAATTGTTTTAATTCTCTCTAAAATGATCTATAATTTTAATGCAATTCCTGTTAAAATATCAACAGACTTCTGATAGAATCAGAACTAATTCTAAGTTTACTTGGAAGAAGAAAAACTCCACAAATCACTAAAACAGTTCTCAAAAAGAGCAGAGAGAATGAATTCACACTACCTGATGTTAAGACGTATTTAAAGACCTAATATTTAAAGCATACTGTTAGTATTAAAGTATTATATGTGATACTGTTGGAGGAACAAACAATGGAATTTAGTTGAGTACAGACACAAACCAAGATGCTAATTATGCCCATGGGGAGTTGATATATGATAAATTGGTATCATGACTCCCTGGGGGAAGATGAATTATTTAACTAATAGCACTGGGGAAACTGGTTTACTTGAATTGAACAAATATAAAACTTGAATCACACCTATACACAAATTCAGATCAGTATAAGACCTAAACATGAAAAGTAAAACTAGAAAATTAAATAATTTTGTAACATTGGGGTTGGAGAGAATTTTGTAAACAGAAAGCACATCTTATAAAGGGAAAATGTGATGGATCTATCTACATTAAATTTAAGATTTCTGATGAACAAAAGACATCAGTAACAGATGACATACTGGTAATCTATTTTTGGCAGTGTCTATAGCCAACGAACATCAATGTTTAAAATGTATAAAGAACTTCTGAAAATCCACCAGAAAACCCAACAGAATAGTAAGTAAAGGATATGGAGAAGCAGTTCACAAAATGAAAAACCAAAATGACTAATAAGCTTATAAAGATAAAGATAAGCTTATAAAGATAGTCTCAACCTTGCTAGTAATCAGATTATGTAAATGTAAACAATGATGTACTTCCTTATACTCCTCAGATTTACAGAAAATTATTTTTCTTTCCATTGTCAATAATAGATTTCCATAAAATCAAAAACTTGTATTATATTAATTGTACAAAACATGATTTTGTTGATGGGAGTATAAACTTTAGCCATTCTGGATATTTTGGAAGTATTTAGTCACCAGTGTATAAAAAAAACCCTCAAGAATATTTATGGTAGCATTATATTATATATAAATCAAATAACAAAAGTCATTCAATTTGATATTTAACTGAATTGGAGTTCAGAAAGGTGACAGTTTCCTGCATTATATGGTAAATTTCTTTGAGGTCAAGAATGACAATTTATTTATATTTGTATCCCTGAGGACTTGACCTGATAGTAGCTGTTCTAATAGCTGTTTTTTATTTTTTTTTTTTGAGACAGAGTCTCACTCTCTTGCCTAG